AAAAGAAAGAAAAAAAAAAGAGTAAAACTACAATTCAAAAATCACTTTAAAATACGGCACCATACACATTAGAAAATGTTTGCTTCTCCTATAAAGGAAAAAATAACTCATTTCATAAAGAGTCTGGGTTGCAAACTGAAGTTGACATAAAATCATCCTTAGCAAATTAATGAACAGAATTCTTCATGAATTCTACAGCAAGGAGTACATGGTCATGTAGCTGAATACTGAAAATTGTCATCAGTTGGAAAAAAAACACTAAGGAAGCCATGGTTTACTGATCACATGCAGCCAGGTAAAAAGCAAGTTAAACCACAGGATGCCTCCAAAGACATTTTTCCTGGCAGAAATGCAAGTATTGACAATGTGCAAAAGGTAGCAAAGAGAAATTACTTCAGAATACCAAACAGAGCTCTGGAACCTAAGAAATGTCTTTCTGACTGTCACAGCAAAAGCCTGATGCTCTCTGCTCCTCCCTGCAGCCTCACATTATCTCCTTGTGCTATGCTCAGCTCTGACTGCATTTTGAAACTTCTATTTCACTCTTTAAAATCTGTCCATTTTTTTCTCCTAAATATGCTAAATTGTTCCCCGTTGCCCTAGACAGCTCCATCTGACCCAACCATTTGCTTTATAAAGGGACACAGAAAAGTAAAACAAATCCCACCTTTCATACCATATACATAAGGTGTAACAAAACGGGTTCCAGTGTATGAAGAAAAGTAATTAACCAGACTCCAAGCCATTTGTTTACAGTGAAGTTGAACAATCCTCATTCAACTGACTGCTGGCAGGGCTGCTTCATGAAATTATTCTCCTATAAATTTAAATAGTTTTCCATGCACTGTAGGTTTGTGTGCTTTTTGTCAGTTTTTGCTTGCTCATTTGCTGAGAGCAGGAGACAGAAGGAGAGAGTACCTAGTTAAAACTCTCCCTTCTGTTCCAGTATGTGTTCCTTTCAAGGTTGGAGTTCATCATGCATATAAATTTTGACAAAAAACAGTGCAGATATAAATAGAATTACTTAATTGGTAAGATGCGTGAATGGTTTCAAGAAAAAAAGATGAGGAAAGCAGGGGCAGAGAGAGCAGATACAATCTTGTTTTGGTTTAACCCAACCCCAGCTCAGCACCACACGGCTGTTCGTTCACTCCTCCCCACCTGTGAGTGAGAGAAAGAACTAGAAACAAAACAGAACTCATGAGCTGCAATAAAAACTATTTACTGAGACAGAAAATGAAAATAGAAAAGCAACAATAACAATAGATACAGCAGAAATGAAATTACTCACCACCTGCCAACTGACACAGAACCAAAATGCCAACTGCCAGCAAAACAACATCTCACTCCCTACTGACTGAAGCCCCACAACTCCCAAGAAGCAGCCGCCCCTGGCTAACAGCTCACAGCATGATAGCCTTCCATATGGTGCCACATGGTATGGGATGACCCCTGGCCTAAATCAGACACCTACCCTGGGGGCACCACCCCCTGTCACACATCTTCTTGGCAGCGCCTCTTCCCCACTGAGAGGCCCAGCCAAGCCCTGGGCACACACTCATTGCTCAGCAACAACCAAACATCAGTGTGTGATCAGCACCATCTAGGCCAAATCCAGAACAAATACTTTTAAAACTAGTTACTTAACTCTGCTCAGAATTAGTTTATTTTTTCCCCTAAGGATGAAAACAAAATGCTAACAAAATTTCAGTTTAAGCCAAAATAATTTATTTTAGGTTCTGCCACTAAACACAGAAAACCAGATACTTGCACAATCCTCATTAGTATATCTATAATCTCCAAAAAACAAATTCACGTATTAAAGCAGGATAACTAAACTAAATCCCCATTGCAATGAGAGCCAACCTCATACAATGTTGTTAGCCTATTACCTTATTAAAAAAACAATAAAAGTCTTGATTTCAAGTAAACAAGTAGCATACTTAAAGTATACACAGTTCAAGCACATTCACTTTTGACATAAAGTGTAGATATTATAAAATTTCTATCTTTCTTGGGTATCACGGAAGAGATGAACATAGCATGAACCCCTGAAGAGAATTAAAATCAAAAACACCCTACAGTATTGCACACATTTCAAATCACAGAATGGAGTGGGTTGGAAGGAACCGTAAAGTCCACCCAGTTCCAACCCCCTGCTGTGGAGAGGGGTTAGAACTGGATAGATCTATTTCCTCATTTCAAGATCAGTAAAATCCTTGCTATTTTCCTATAACAATTCTACCTATTCTGTCTTAGCATTAAAAAAAAGTAGCACTGCTGCAGATCACTGAGATTTTAAGGAAGAAAAGCCCATCTAGTTGTAAGTCTGATCACACATGCAACACAGGCTATTCAATTTTTTTTTATCTTTACCTTCCATATATTTCATACTATTTAAAATGCCATTTGTAACACTTATATTCACACTTCATTGCTCAAATAATCTCAGTTCATCCCTTGAATTTCCTCATGGTCCATCTCCACACTTCTCTATTTTTCAACTTTGCCTTCTTTTGTTCAATCCACATACTCAAAATCCAAAAGTCAGATTAAGTGACAAAGTCCTTGTCTTCTCAAGTTTTTTTCTCTCTTGAAAGCTACTTAAAAACTCATCATGTGGCAAGCAGCTTTTCAGCATCACGAATGCACGCTTTTTTGAATCATCCACAAAAAAATTTTAAAAAATTTAAGCAAGAAGAGGTGGGGAGTTTGTTTGTTTGTTTGTATGTTTTAAGGCAAATTTATGTTAACTGCATCCCCAAATATCATGACCATGCTACCTGCTGGTTTTATATATATATACACACACACACACATACACACACACAGACAAATTAACAGCACGCATAGACACAACTTTGCTTTTGCAACAATATGAATAGGTTACTCCCAATAGCTAGTTTAGTGAAGAGCCATTTAGCCATTGAACCACGCTTCTGTGGTGCACATTTCAAGATTTATATTAAAACAGAATGCTTGAGTAGACATTCAAAGAGGACAGCATGGACCAAAAAAAAAAAAAAGAAAAGAAAATATAACCTACCAAATATGTTGGTGGAATGTCCTTTCCTGGCAATTGGTTTGAGCTCATTATGTCCCCATCCATATTGCCTATAATTGTCCCAGGCATGCTTCATCATCTAAGAGAGGAAAAAAGCCAAGATTCAGTTATATTCTGAAGCTACTTCATACAAATACAGTAATACAGTATTTTATTCCTTATTTGAAACTTCATCTTCCTTATTCATTACAGCATACTGATAATTATTTTGCCATTATTTCTTGGTTGCTTGCTAAAGAAATCAGATGGTACACTGCAAGCATTTTCTGAAAACAGAAGTCTATTTGACTTGAGTTACAGGATGCTCTGTATTAGTTCACTTCTGTTTTCTTTACCTTAAATATGTTCACAGACATTAAGGAACTGGTAAAAATATTGCCTAACTCCTAAGCTGCTATCCAAAAGAAAAAAATCTAACAATATCTGAAGTTCAAAAGGGATTTATTTTGCTTAGTCATAGTCTGATGCAACAGCATAATCTTACAGCGGTATCATACTTTTTGTTTTCTTATTGGGAACACCTACTTGACAGAGATATACTGTGGAACAGACTCTACCATGACAAACACCAAAAGCTTTGTTCTTTAGGAAGCATAATGAATGATGCAGTAGACAATTTATTTACAGCTTATGGTTCCTGAAGTATCTGTTTCCATGAGATTTTCTTTTTAATAGAAGTTTCCACTACTAAAAAAAAATAATCACCAAAATCTTGTTGGTCCGCAGTGTAGTGGAAATGCTAAATCATGGCCTGAAACAGTGATTGAGCACCTGCTGGGAAGGCAGGGCCAACCCAGGGAAGCTGAGGTGTATGATGCACCTGAGTGACTTGAAGGGATGGAACCAGGATCCACTCCCTCCCAGACCTCATTTAAGGGTTGGCAGTGGAGGTGAGAGCATCTCTTGCTGGAAATCCCTGCCTACCTGAGGCCTTCCAAAGGTAAGCAGGTCTTTTCCTCTGCATCTGTGGCTGCTGCATTTGGGCTCATTCTCATTTGCTGCCGCCAAAGACTTTGCCACCCTGCTATTATTATCCCATTATAGCATTACACAAGGGTATTAGTTGCACATATCATCTGCTAAGCAATAAATTCTTTGTTTGCATACAGCTGAAGTCCTGCAGCCACAAAACTGAAAGTACAGAACTGCAGTATAATCATATTGATTACCTAAATTATAGAATTGCTTGGGTTGGAAGGGACCTCAAGGATCATCAAGCTCCAACCCCCTGATACAGGCAGGGCCGTCAACCTACAGATCTAGTACTAGATCAGCCTGCCAAGGGCCCCATCCAACTCAGTTTTGAACACCTCCAGGAACGGAGCATCCACAACCTCTCTGGGCAGCCTGTCCCAGCACCTCACCACTCTTGCTGTGAAGAATTTCCGACATCCAATTTAAATCTTCCCTCCTCGAACTTAAACCATTCCTCCTCATCCTAACACTGTCTACCCTCGTAAAAAGTTGATTCCTCTCCTGTTTATGATCTTCTTTTAAATACTGGAAGGCTGCAATGAAGTCTCCTTGCAGCCTTCTCTTCTCCAGGCTGAACGAGCCCAGTTCCCTCAGCCTGTCTTCACAGAGAGGTGCTTCAGCCCTCTGATTGTCTTCATGGCCCTCCTCTAGACCCTCTCCAACAGCTCCATAAGCAGATCAGAGCAGGTAACAGGAAGAAATCTGATTCTTACAAATCACTTAAAAATTACCCAGACAGAAGGAAGTTAGAAACAAACTTATTCTGAAGACAACTCCTGAATTAGCAGTCATGCAGTTGTATCCACAGTGCTATACATATTTTATTTTTCTATTATGACTTTTAAAAGTGGTATTAAAATACTGTTAAATAAACAAAAACCTCCAGAAAATGTATAGAAATTAAATAATCATTTCCATAAAGTTTGAGAAAAGCTCCCTAAAAGGAAAAAAAAAAAATTAAACTACAGTAATGCAACTTAAAGACCTATACTTAAGGATCCTTAAGAAACTGATTATATTATAGCAAGTAACTGCATGATTTACAAGAATGTAACATTCTTATTTTAATCCATCACCATACCCAGAGAAAATTGTAAGGAAGAAGCAGACATTGGTTCATAGGCACTATCTAACACAAGGCAAACAGCAGCTCTTTTCTCTCACTAAGTTCAGGACTCACTGGAAGTCAACATCCCGTAAACACAAGTCTTTCAAACTGCATCCATGCTGCTCACTGAGAGATGCAAAGTACAAGTTACTGTCTCTCTACAACCATCATGAGAACCCCATCCAAACCAGACAGCCATAATTTGTCTGAACATCAGCTGAGACAGGAGAAGCTTGGAGGGAATCAACTTATGCCTGGATGATAACTTGGAACTTAGCAGGGATACACAAGCAGGACACGAACTTGTAAGAAAAAGAGAACACTAGTATTATACTAAAAGAGGAGAAAAGAGCCGTTTCACTAGCACTGATACATTCCTTAGTGTTTAACAAGCACATGTCTCTATAATTGATTAAGAGCTACTGAAACAAAGATGGCTCAGGTAAAGAGAACCTCTGCTAGCATAAGAAAGCTGCAGAATGACTAAATACAGTAAAAAAGCTGATCACGGATAGCATAGCTCTGAGAGTTCCTACCAATATTATCCAGAAACAACCCATTTCTTTTTTCTTTTTATTAACTTATGGTGATAGGATCAAGAATCACAGCTTCACTCGGGCTGGAAGGGACCTCAGAATATCTGCATTCCAACCTCTAGACTAAAGCAAGGTCATTTACGAGATCAGACAGGGCTACTTAAGGACGGGACAGGACAGTCAAGGTCTTCCTGAATTATTGTGTGTAAAACAAGACATCCTGAAAACACCACTTTGAAGAAAAACAGACTTGTATTTTTAGAAAGCACTAGAGTGTAGAGCTAAAAAGTTACCACTGAGTTCTGTATCTTAGTTTGATAACAGATATCTAAACAACAGGGTGCCCATGACATAGCAGCTCTAACCAACCTTCTTCCATAAAAGGGGAAATGAGCTTCTAAGACCTTAGAATGCATCAATGACATTCTTCACAACTGGGAATCAAGTCACTACTGATATTTTAGCTCTGTAAAAGTCTCAGACAAACTGTAGACAAATATCAGCATAGATAACAAATTGGCTAAGACCAAAAGAAAGAGCAATACATTGTTTACTCTTGGCAGAATATTAATGGGAATATTTCACTGTTCCAATTTGCTATGCCTACTGAGAAACTGAGGAGAAGGTGCAATTTTGTTAAAAAAAAAAAGTTTGTAAGCAGATCATTTAGTTCTGAGGAAACTATACACACTGCATAAAGTATACACTGCTGCAAGTTTCAAAAGTCTTTAAGTTTCTAAGATACCTGAATGCCATCTTAAGAGAAATTGTAAGATAGAACATCTTAAAGGAACTAATTTCACCAGATTAATCAATTAATGAAAAAGTAACCTAAGAAGATACAGAAGCACTGTCAAACATGAGAAACTAAGACATAGTTGACTGTAGTGACTAACATTCTGAGAAAGGAAATTATATTTTGAAGAGTATAGGCTAGTTGCATAAACATGAGCAGGTGTTTGCCATGTCTCTTCTGCCTCTCCCAAACAGGAAACAAAGGAACTGAAATTATAGTTCTCCAAGGATCTTTTTATTATTTTCACATTAGCAAATGAACCAATTTGTTCCAGACGAACGCAGCAAATAATTCTGGTACAGAAGGTGATATCCTTGTCTACCACTGAGCAAAGACTTCAGCGCATCAGGTAAGCAGACAACTGCGTACATGAGAAATCCTGCAGCTCCTGTACAGAATATTGAGTTTTGTAAGCATTATATTCCAAGAGATGTGGTAAGAACATGAGATTTGTGTTGCTGCCAGATGTAGTAACAGGATGCATACCTATATAACTGGGAACGGAAGTTTGGGAGATGGCAGAAGACATGCCTCTGACTGCTAGAACTCTAGCAAAGGATATTACTTTGTCTCAGGAACTATAAGTAACATGCTTATAGTAAGTCCTTGGCATTTGATAGCATATAATATGAAGATCTTATCACGAGGCCACCAGAGAACAAATGTATTAATGATGGAACTCTCACCGGTTCTATTAATTCCAGATGACTGATTCTCCTTTCAACAGAAAACAAATCCTATTGGAATAGGTTCATTACATACCAGTCTCAAAAATATTTTTCACGGGATGCATCCAAAAATACAAGTCAGCAAGGCAATAGTGCATGTACAGCATGATAGTTCTACAAAAAAAAATTAATTTGGACTCTGCTGCCAGAATGGCAAAAAGCAGGATCTGTCTCAAATGAAACTGCTTTTGTACATACAAAATACTTAGATCCTTTTACTTACTTTAGAGTGTGTGTGCCTGGTTCCTTGCATCTTATCCACTGTGCTTGCTAAGAAATTGGTTTTTCATAAAGGCAGAATTGTAATGATGTCTTTTAACAAAATTATATTTTCAACAACAAAGGGAGATTACAGTAATGGAAAGGACTTTTGTTGGGTAGTCTCATCACTACAGCAGCACACTGAAGCAGTCTGGCTTGAACTATTATTTTTAAAGGTCTCTTTCCAGTTCCTCAAAAAGGGTAGAGATTTAACTTAAAAAAACTAAATCAGAGTCCTACGAAATAAGCAAATAAAACAATTTGTTGAGAATTGCTGTGACTAGAAAGGAATAATCTTTTTAATGTACTGACACTCAGATGCTTGAAGATAATTAGAAAAATCATTATTTTATTCTTCCAGAAACTACAAATTTCTACCTAAATAGAAATTAAAGTATCCATTTAAACTTCTGCCATGCAAAAAATCTGTCTGGAACATGCTCTAAGACACAAAGCTGTGTTCTCCATTTTCTGAAATAACTAGCAATAGATCCGTTATTATATCAGAACAAAAACGTCAATCACATTAATGCAAAATGGAGAACTTGACTGTTTGCATAAAAGACATCTGATGGAACTAAGGGGACAATACTGCAGTTTGGTAAGAACTGAAACAGTAGACATCAATGGCATAAATGTGGGAAGTTTACAACAGTTAACTGACTGCTCAAGTTT